GTCGAACTTGCCGGTAAGTGTAGCCAAGGCCTTAGTCTTTAAGGTGCCACCAGACTCCTTGTTGTTTTTGTTGAGGTAAATCAGTGTCACTACATTGCCTTTGAGGGAGCTACACCCACATACCCCAGGTGAGGATCAGGCCCCCTTAGTCCAGGAGCGATGTTTCCACACGAGACTATTATAGGAACTCCAGCCAGTTCTGCAGAGCGGGTGCCCATACTCTGGTTTGACCATTCCCCCCCCATGGGGCGGTTTGTGCCCTTGCAGGAAGGTGCTGAACAAGCTGAATTTCTCCATCCCGGAAGATCTGATCCGGAAGATCGTACAGTGCACGCCTGGCGTGGTGGAGCTGGTGCTGCTCCCACTGCGGCAGAAAATCGAGGAGAAGCAGAAGCAGAGCAAGGTGGCATCTGGCACATATCAGGTCAGCGGTGCTCGAGGGACAGCGGGCGGCTCAGATGGTCAAACGTTGTGTAGGATCCTGTTGTGTATATGGGCCATGTGCTCAGGTCCTTGCTCAGGCAAACTCCCTTGGGAGCAAATGCTGGGTGAACACTGTGGAGCTCGGCCTACGGCTGTGGCAAGTAGGTGTAATTTACAAACCCAGAGCCATTAAACTGCATTCAGAAGGAGCATGGGTAAAGTGCAGGAAGTGTAAGAGTCATCACAGGGACTGGGAGGCATGAGTTCTCTTCCTGACGCTCACAGAGGTGCTGTGTGCCTCAGTTTCCCCATTTTCAAAATGGGCCGGCTAGACTCTCCCAGCGAGTGCGTGGGGGTTGATTCATTTATTTATTGCAGGATAGTGACTCACCAGTCAGCACGCTCCCTTGCGGCTGTTCATGGCATTGCAAGACCTTCCCCTTCATCCGATGGCCACTCAGGCCCTGGGGTGGTCTGGTTCTAGTCACTCAGCCCGCCAGCCCGGTCACATACGCTGATGTACAGGGCTACCTCCCCATCGCAGGGCCCACCACAGGACTCCACTGCTACAGCTTCCTCCTGGCTCCTTTCCCAGGCAGCAGGGACCCCAGACCCCTTTGCTCCTGGGTCTCTCACTCCCACGTCTCCCCCTTTCTGGCTCTTTTCTTCTACTCTGAGCTCCTTCCCTGAGGCAATCAGCTGGGTTTTAGAGGTTTTTAGGGCCTGGCTTGACAAAGCCCTGGCTGGGATGATTTAGTTGGGGTTGGTCCTGCTTTGAGCAGGGGGTCGGACTAGATACCTCCTGAGGTCCCTTCCAACCCTGATAGTCCATGATTATGATTATGAATTATGCCGAACCCCCTCTCCCCCAGGTGAGAGCTAACTGGGCCCACCAGCTCCCGTTAACCCTTTGTCTACCTGTGTGTGGTTTATACACCCCATCCCGTGTACGTCCAGGGCTTTGAGATCCTCAGCTAGAAGGCATTAAACAAGTGCACAGTTGTAATTATTCTGAGCCGCTCACAGGGCATGGCAGCAAATAGAACCGCTACGGCTGCCACCAGAAATGTGCTATTGGCAAGCGAGTGGTGGAAATCAAATAGAAATACCCATCGATCGCAAGCTGAACGCAAGCAGCACTCAGGCAGTGTGGTAATCGGACTCGGACCACTAGGGTGGAGAGAAAGCCCAGCTGCCAGTGCGGAGAGTTCAGGGCTAGGAACAGAGCGCCCCAGCCGACCCTACCGGACTGGGGATAGGGTGAGAGGCAGGGCTTGTCAATATACCTGTTATCCTTCCGAGAGTCAGCAGAGGGCACCGGTGTTATGCTATGGAGCTGACAATTTAGCTGATACATCTGATGTTGAGATAGATACACAGGAAGGAGGAAACGGAGTGGCAAAGGCTAATGAAGGGGCACTGGAGAGAGATGGATCTTACTCAT